CTTCAAGGAAAATTGTTGGTGAGAAAACTGGATCCTCAACTTTTAAGTACAATATAAGAACTGGTTTGGAAGATATCATTGAGGCTTCATCAATGACCAAACAGATTTTGCAAGTTTTTTCAATAATTTTGCTAAATAAATGTTTCCTAATGTCTTTTGCAATGAAATCTCCTATTGCAACTGCAGTTTTACTTGAATGCAATTCTATTCCCAGATTGAAACCATTTTTAATTTGCAGTTCTATAAGATCTTCTCTATATGAAAATGGTCTGCACATTTGTGCCAAACTGTACACTGTAGTAAATACTCGACATGTACTAAACACTTAAAATGGAAATACAATTAACAAACCAAGGGAGTTTGTTATTTTGTGGCAGTAGTGGAACAAAAATCTTTCTGGCCAAGACTACTTACCTGAACTAACAGACCCTAATGGGTGGGTTTCATTTTTTTTTACTACTGGTTCTGTGGGCGTGGCTTGGTGGGCCTAAGCTCTTTAGACTTTGCATCTTAAAAAATGTACTGAAGCTTTTTACAGCCTTATGCAGATTATATAGTACAAAAAAAAGATATAGTAAAAAGATCATCTGAGAAGTTAAATTAAGAATGAAATTCATAGGCACAGTCACAGAGCAATATTTAATTCTTTTTCTGAAATGTATTCCTCAGTTTTAAAAACTGGAATATATGCATAAGATTTGGTATTGGGCTCTGCTTGTACTCAACTCAAGTAGCTATTCAAGAGTATGTAGTATCAAGGTTAGAAAAAATGGTAAAGCAATATATAGATTTAAATTTTAAAACCAGAAATATTTTTGTTGGTACTCACATAAATAAAGGGAATACAATACATATTTAATTTTACATGTGGCTAGAATTATGTTTGCACATCAGTGGAAAAACGAAGAGATCCCTATAGATGAAAATGAAATTTAAAAAATATTATAATGTGGAAAAAAGGATAGATAGAGATAAGAAGTAAAAATTAGGTGAAGAACAATCATTGCTATGTATAAATTAAATACAAAGAGGGTTGATAATTATAAACAAGTTGATATAATTAACAGAATTTTAAATAAGCCAATACAAAATGAAATTTAGTTAAAGTTATTTTGTTACGCTACTGTTATTGTTACATGTTGATACTTCTTTTTATTTTTCCTTTGCTTTTTCCTAAATGATATATGCCCTGGCTGATAATAAAATACTATTTATTCATAAAAAGCAAATACTATAATAATACTATAATACTAAAATAATTTTTAATAATTTAGTATATGTTTTGTTTTTATTAATCATAAAAACAAAACAGATGCTAAAAACATGAATAAATACATAAATGATTTTTTTTTTCTTACACTACTGTTATTGTTACATATTGACACTTGTTTTTTCTTTGCTTCTTCCTAATAGGAAAAAGCAAAGGAGAAAAAAAAAGAAGTATCAATATGTAACAATAATAGTAAAATAATTTTTATTTATGTATTTATTTATTTTGTTAGTATGTGTTTTGTTTTTATAATTAATAAAAACAAAACACATACTAAAAAATAAATAAAACTGGGTGGGGGGAGAATGCAGTCAGTGATTGTCGTGCATGTGCGCAATGTCATGCATGCGCCATAAGGACTGACTGGGCAGAGAGTGGGACCAGCCAGGGGCCCAGTTTACTGGTTCTCTGAACTGCTGAGAGTCATAATAACAGGTTCTACAGAACCAGTCTGAACTGGAAGAATCGTACCCCTGGGTAGCTGGGGCCATCTGGATCTCCAGGGAGGCTCTTCCACAAGGTAGGGGATGCAAAGAGAAGGGCTGTTTCTGGGTCCAACAGGATGATATGGTTTCATAGAGGGGAGGCCAAGAATCTTGTACTTGTCCTGCTCTGGGCCACATTGGATGCCAACAAATTAATGACTTCCCCACTCCATTTTCTGACAGATTCTTTACATGCATATAAACAAGGATTGTAGAATTTCAAACAAACAAGTTTTATAGATGGAGGATTTTATTAGTTTTACTTGCCTAGATCAGTTCAATTGGTTTCATAGGTTTTATATCTAAAAATGTTATGCTATCCTAATTTTACCTATTTCTAAACATGTACATATTTTCCTGTACTGGTCCCTGACCACCATCATTTTCTGGTTTATTTTATTATTTAGTTCCACCTTTACAAACAAATAATGGCTTTTCTCCAATGAAGAAAAATGTCTACTTTTTCTTCAAAATTGAAATGTCCTAACAGTAGAACCCAAATCAAACTTTGATGTCTATAATGAATAAAAGTGATTTTCAGGGATTTTATTCTGGTTTGTCTTCAGTTAAGAGATGAGTGGCCATTTTTGTTCCTCGGACATTCTTCTCTCTTACAATGTTCCAAACCAGAATCAGCTGTATCCATATTGAGGATTGACATTTCAGATTCATGCCAAAATTCTCTGTCGAGATTGGAATATATCGAGAGATATTCTAAGGGATGTGTCAGGGAAATACTTTAAGAGCTGACCAACTGCCATGATGCAGTAATACTGTAATGTTGTAATGCTGTAATGATGATGCAGTTGTAGGAATGAGATGTTTGGGAGAAATGAAGTTTGAGAGAAAGTTCTCCTGTCTCACTCCTGGGCATATTTTCAGAGTTTCACCCCATTTGAGATTCCTCCCATTGGGCACCTGCTTGTTGACTCAGTCCAAGTTTAGAGAGATAATGTCTCTTCTTGTTGCCATTATCCAAATCATAGTGATTTTTTTATCCTCTTGGTGCTAAGTGTCAAAATACATTTTGGATTGCTTTCTGATGTCACACAAACCTGGCCATAACACGCTTCCATTTTGATACCATATCAACACCTTGTTGGCTAATCTCTTTGCACCAGGGGCATACATGACCCTGGAGAAATAGACAACCTTGAGAGCTTTTATGACAGGCAGGGGATGCAGATATGAAGGCTTGCCTGGACTCTGTTGTGATTAGAAAACTTCTGGAGCTTCTGTCTTGGAAGAGGGCTTTGCCTTCTTCCACCTCTTCCTATCACTGTGTCTTCAGAGCAAGGCTGGAGACTCCATCAGGAGCACAAGTCATGTTGCTGCGTCTGCTGCTTCTGCTGCTTCTGCTGCCCCAGGAAGTTCTGGGAAGTCTCAGAGCCAAATGTCTGCTGACTCTGAAGAGGGACGAGGTACACCCACAGAACTATTACAAGCCAGGAAAGTTTCTCATTGGTGGCATTGTCTCTGCAACGAGGATGGTCCTTCTACCAATAAGCTTCAACAAATCTCCTTTGACTCAAATTTTTCTGTAGGTTAAATTTTGTGCACAGAATTAGAGCCTCTTCATTCCACCTTAAGTTCTAAAGTTTTAGTGGCCTCTTACAATGAATGATCTCTTTGATCTGCTAGTTTCTCTCTCTTTCTGTCTCATTTCATCCTTGGTTCATCCTTTTCAACTGATGAACCTGATTTGAAATTCTCAAATAAATAATTAGTAGAGATTTTCTGTTTTTCTTGACCTTGAAGAAGAAGCTTCTTCTTTTCTTGACATCCTCTTAGCAGAGTTGGAATGTGGATGAGCAAGGATGGTTCTTCTCTTCTACCACTCTGATGCCCAATAAGGTCATCAGAAGGGGCAGAAAAATGAAATTTTTATGTGAAAATTTTTATGTGTCATTGCAGGTGTCTCTATTAGTATGGTCCTTTATTGATTCTATATTTCACCTGGAATAATAGGCCACACTTCCAATTATTAATTATTGGAGAATATAAATAGACAAAGGGATAGAAAGAGATTGAAAGTTAGTTTGAAATCTTAATACAACAGCAAGAAAAAGAACCATGTGAAGAATAAGCTAAAACTTATTTTGAAACTGAATTATGTAGAAATGATGAACATGTAATAATAAAAATGTATAAAGTTTGAAATATTTGAAACAGATATTTAACAGGTTCAATGAATGCACTATTTGAATCTGATATTAAATAAAGATGCAAAGAATTTGGGTAATTGGTATTCGGTTTACATTCCATTATAAGGTAAGAGAAAGTTTTGAAATAAAGCAATGTATTCTTGCTGTAGGACAAATGATCAAAGATATGTAAACATATTTCAACCAATGCAGGAATTGTGAAAAGCATGGCAAAACATTTTATCATGCAGGGTGGACTTGTGAGAAATGTAAGAGTAAAAATTGTGATTAAACTAGAGCTATTATTTTACTGGGATTACTGAGTAAAGAATTAGATAACATTCATAGTGTTTATAAATGGTAACTTTGGCAAGATTGTTGTTTGATCAATAATGGAAGAATTATGGAATTCTCACAGTGGAGGGCTAGATGTGAAAAATGTAGAATTTGCAGAAATGAAAAATTATCTGTTGAAAATAAGGTGGGAAAACAGGTTTTATTCTTTTTCTTTTTTTAATTTCTTGGACCTTTTCTTCCATTCTCTATTTTTGTCATTCCTTTTTTCTTTTAATTAATATTTCATTTGCGTAAACAATTATTTATAAATATAAATTTTAAAAAGAGAATGTTAACAATATTAGACTAACTCAAAAAGAGTATGCATTCAATATCCAAAAATAAAAGAAAAATGGAGAGTATCCCAGAGTTCTATTCAATGGGTGAGATTTTGGGGGGTGGGATTTAAAAATGCCCCCAAACCTCTCAGTTTTAGATGGATTAAAAACACACTATTAAATTTAACAATTAAATAAAATGTTGCTTCCATTGATTTCATCCTGATACATTCATACTTTCAGGAAACCAGCAACAGAGTATTGGAAAATCCTATCCTTCCTTTTTGCAATCCAAGCAATCAACAAGAATCCCAACATTTTGTTCAATGTCACCCTGGGATACAACATCTATGACAATTATTTTAAACCACAAATGACTTCTGAGGCTTTGCTGGACCTGCTTTCGGAGGGGGAGGCCAATGTTCCCAACTATAGCTGTGGAAGGCAGAGAAATACCATGGCTGTTCTTGAAGCGACCGATACTGACATCTCCATCCAGATTTCGACCATGTTGGGAACCAATAAAATCCCACAGGTATGTCTTTGTTGTGGAGACCATTTTTAGACATGCAACTTACAGTCAGACATCCTCTGTTGTAAACGAAGAGAACAGTTCTATTGTGTGAATTGCATGAAGTAAGGATGAAGGTTCTATCAAGTGGTAGAGAAGATTGAAGCAGACAATCCTCTCTCCGGTATACTCGTAATACAGACTGTGCATCTCTGCTGTTTATTTGCAATATCCAAATACTTCGTTGAAGAGATGCAGTGGCTCAGTTGTTAGAAGTGCAGTACTGCAGGCTAATTCTGCTAACTGGTGCTGACTGCAATTTGGCAGTTCCAATCTCACCAGGCTCAAGGTTGACTCAGCCTTCCATCCTTGCAAGGTGGGTAAAATGAGGACCCAGGTTGTTGGGGGCAAGAGGCTGACTCTGTAAACCACTTAGAGAGTGCTATAAAGCATGTGCTAATTGCTTTTGCAATTGCTATTGAAGTGAGAAGATTAGATATAGAATAGAATTCTTTATTGGCCAAGTAGTGATTGGACACACAAGGAATTTTTGTTGGTGCAAAGGCTCTCAGTGTATATAAAAGAAAAGATACATTCGTCAAGAGTCAAGAATCATAAGGCACAACACTTAATAATAGTCATAGGGTACAATAAGCAATCAAATCATACTAGGAAAAAGTCATAACTCATAATGATACAAGTGATGAAGTTACAGCCAAACAGTCCCAATTGGGAGGGGATAGGCAATAAGGAGTGAAGAGAACATTAATAGTAATAGTAGTGCAGACTTTATATATAGTTGGACAGTGTTGAGGGAATTATTTGTTTAGGTGAGTGATGGTGTTTGGGAAAAAAACTATTATATATTATAGATTTTAGATTAACAGAGTTGGAAGGGACCTTGTAGATGATCTAGTCCAACCCCCTACCTAAGCAGGAGACCCTACAACATTTCTGACACATGGCAGTCCAATCTCTTCTTGAAAGCCTCCTGTGATGAAGCTCCACAACTTCCAAAGGCAAGCTGTTCCTTTACTTGATTGTTCTGTCAGAAAGGTTCTTCTTATTTCTAGGTTGAATCTCTCCTTGTTCAGTTTCCATCCATTGTTCCTTGTCTGGCTTTTGGGTGCTTTGGAACATAGCTTCACCTCTTCCTCTCTGTGGAAGCCCCTCCTATCTGCTATCATGTCTCTACTGGTCCTTCTCTTCACTAGACTAGCCATGCCCAGTTCCTATAACCGTTCTTGTTTTAGTCTTCAGGCCTTTAATCTATCTAGCTGCTCTTCTTTGCACTTTTTCCAAAGTTTCAAAATCTTTTTTGTAATGTGATGACCCAAAATGGATGCAGTATTCCAGGTGTGGTCTTACTAAGGCTTTATGAAGAGGTACTAATACTTCATGCGGTTTTGATTCTATGCCTCTCTTTATACAACCAAGGATTGTATTAGCTTTATGGCTGCAGCCGCATACAAGTAATTCATGGTTAAATGATCATCCATTTGGATTTCAAGGACCCTTTCACAGTTACTGTTTTTGAGCCAGGTTTCAGGTAATTTGTTTTTCCTTCCCAGGTGTAAAATGTTACTTTTCTCCACATTAAATTTCATTTTGTTGTATTCAATCTTGTCTTGTTTGGATATGAAAGGGACAATATGCATACAGATAAAAATCTATAGAGACATGGTGGGTCAGTGGTTAGAATGCAGGCTAATTGCCCACAGTCAGGAGTTTGATTCTGACAGGCTCATGGTTAATTCAGCTTTCATCCTTCTGAGGTGGGCAAAACGAGGACCCAGATTGTTGGGGACCATATGCTAACATTGTAAACTGCTCAGAGAGTGCATTGTGGAGTGATATATAAGTCTAAGTGGAATTGCTATTGCTATATAGTTTCTACTGAGCGTGGATCCTTTTATGAGAAGTAAGATTACCATTCTGAGCAAAGGCTCTGTTATGTCCCTGGAACTTGCCAAAGTTCCCAACCAGGTCCGTTCGTGTTGCGGGGGCGTCTGCTGCTCCTCATTGGCTGGCTCCCCTCGACAGCTGGCTATAAAAGCCAGCTGCAGGGTCCGGTCAGTCGCTGTTCGCTGGAAGCCTGCTCCTAGCAGAGCTGACACGATCAGTCCTTTATTCTGTGAATAAAGTCTTGTTGCATTCATGCCCTGGTCTAGCCTCTCATTGCTCAATCCACAACACTGGCGACGAGGGTGGGATGGCTACCAGAGGCATTTCTTCCGCAGCTGAAGTCACTCTATTGCTGAGCCGCAGCCGCGCCGCCGGAGAGCTCGGTCAGCAAAAGAGAAAGTAGAGCATCCGTAGCCGCTCAGTTAGCAAGCTACGGGGGAAAGTGAACGCTGCGAGCCGCAGCCGCTCAGCTCAAAAAGAGCGCAAAATTCAAACGGCTGTCGTTTGAATTTCAAGCCGGAATACAGCGCGGTGCTGTAATTCCCTTAAGTCACTGACGCCCACGCTCTCCAGGAGCGTGAAATTTAAACGCTGCAGCCGTTGCAGCCGGAGCTTCAAACGTTAACCCAGAGAGAGCAGAGTGTTTCTGCAGAGCCTCTCCAGAGCTGAAGTCACTATCTGGCAAACGCTTTAGCAGCAGCTGCCACAATCATTTTGAGCACACAGGGTCGTTTCGCCCAGAGAGAGAGATTTACAGTCGTGTAACCAGCTGAAGTTCTCAACATGAACTCCAACCCAGCTTTCCCACCGTTCAAACCCGATGAGGAGAAGTGGGAGTCATACAAAAATCGATTTAACCACTACATCGACGCCATTGGTCTGGCTGATGCAGGAGAGCACAGGAAGAAGTCGTTCTTCCTCAGTTATTGCGGGGCCTCCGTTTTTGATACCGCCACAGCGCTCGTCGCCCCACGCGAGTTGAAGAATGTCCCCTGGACAGAATTGCTGGAAATCCTCACCAATCATTATTCTCCCAAGCCTTCGCAGATCACGAGACGCTTTGCCTTTAGGATGAGAAAGCAAGCTGAAGGGGAGACCATCAACCAGTACATGGCCGCCTTGAGGACTGCAGCTCTCCACTGTGAGTTCAAAAACTACTTAGACGATATGCTTCTCGACCAGCTCGTCTGTGGGGTCAAGGATCTTCACCTCCAAAGACAACTACTCGCCCGGAAGGATCTCAACCTCTCGCAGGCCATCGAGGAAGCCTTGGCTGCAGAGCTGGCAACGCAGTCAGCCACCGAAATTCAAGGTTCTGGCCCAAAACCTAGCTGCGCCACCATCCACTCAGAAGTGGTGGTCAACGAAGATGACCCCAACGACCAAACAGACGTCCACCGTCTCGCTTACGCCAAGCAACCTCAGGTAGGAACCAGGCAAGATAGCAGCAGCGCACCCAAACACAACATCCTGTGCTTATCCTGTGGCGGACCTCACTCAAGGGCTTCGTGCAGATTCAAGGGTGCCACCTGCAACAATTGCCACAAGAAAGGCCACATCGCCAGAGTATGCCAGGCTGCACACAACTCAGCACAAAAGGTTCCCTCCTTTTCCCATTCTGGCTCCCAAAGGCAAGTACTAAATTGTCACACTTGCTACCATGCTAACCACACCTGTCATTCCATTAGTAAAATTACGCTTTCCATTTTATTAGAAGGTAAACCTTGTCATATGGAGGTTGACACGGGGTCAGCGCTCTCAATCATCTCGTGGAGCACGCTCAAGAAGATCCAGCCCAGGCTAACCAGAAACCAACTCCAGAAGTGCCAGCTCACCTTGAGGGACTATCAAGGGAGGGACATTCCAGTACTCGGCAAAGGCAAGTTCCTGGTTAATTTTAAAGCTTTCAAGGGTCACCTGCCTCTAGTGGTAGTTAACGGCAATCTCCCTAGTCTCCTGGGACTCGATTGGTTCCCCTATCTCGGCCTTGGGGTAACAGGAGTCCATGCTGTCTCAGCTTCTGACACCGACTCCTTATTCACTGACTATTCTGACGTATTCAGCGATGAGTTGGGGTGTTATAACGGTACCCCCATCTCATTTGCAGTTGACCCCCAAGCAGTTCCCATCCGGTTGAAGCCACGCAGGGTGCCATTTGCCATTCGGCCTAAACTGGACACGGAACTTGACAAATTATTAAAGCAAGGGGTCATTGAAGCCACAGACTTTGCCAAATGGGAGACACCAATTGTCACACCCCTTAAAAAGGACGGCAGTCTGAGAATTTGTTCGGATTACAAGACAACAATTAACCGCTTTTTGCAAGTTAGCGCTTACCCAGTTCCGGTCATTCAACATTTATTACACACTTTTGAGCCTGGCAGCATTTTCGCCAAATTGGACATGTCACAGGCGTATCAACAGTTCCCTGTTGACGACCAAACAGCAGAGTTACAAACCATTGTGACTCACAGAGGCACCTTCAGGTGCAAGCGTCTCCAGTTTGGTGTGAGTGTTGCCCCCGGCATCTTCCAATCCCTAATGGAACGAATATTACAGGGCCTCCCTGGTGTAGTACCATACTTCGATGATATATTGGTCTCGGCCAGGGACAGACCCCAACTCTTCCAGAGAGTCAGAGAAGTGCTAGACAGGATCAGACAGCATGGTCTCAGATTAAAAAGGGAGAAATGTGCCATTGCCACTAGACAGGTGGACTTTCTGGGCTATAGAATTGACGCATCAGGTATCCATCCCCTAGAGTCCAAGGTCAAGGCAATCCATGAGGCACCCACGCCTACCACTAAAGCTGAGCTACAAGCCTTTTTAGGATTATTAAACTTCTATGCATCATTCCTACCGCACAAAGCATCGGTAGCGGAGCCTTTGCACAGACGTTTAGATAAAAAAGCACCTTGGCACTGGGGACACAAGGAAGACACCGCTTTTCACGCAGTCAAAACACTGCTCACATCAGACGCAGTCCTTATACAATTTGACCCGCGTCTTCCATTAGTACTAGCAGCCGATGCATCCCCTTTTGGGATTGGAGCCGTTTTAAGCCACAGACTACCCAACGGCTCCGAGGCACCAATTGCCTTCTTTTCCAGGACGCTCTCAGCAACAGAGCGCAATTACAGTCAAATCGATAAGGAGGCTTTAGCAGCCGTCGCAGCGGTAAAGAAATTTCATGAATTCCTTTTTGGCCACAACTTCGAGCTGATCACAGACCACAAGCCGCTCCTAGGTCTGCTAGCCGGGGACAAACAGACCCCACAAGTGTTGTCTCCCAGGATGACAAGATGGACCTTATTCCTGGCGGCGTACTCTTATAAACTCATCCACCGCCCGGGAAAATCTTTAAGCCACACAGATGCCCTCAGCCGCTACCCTCTGCCAGCTCCCGCTGTAGACCCGGCCCCTGTCCATGCCATCTTCGAGGTCACCGAGCTTGACCTTCCAGTCACCACCCACGACATCGCTACCAAATCCAAGTTGGACAGAACAATTGCCCAGGTACTGGACTGGGTGAGGAGGGGGTGGCCGGGCTCTAACCTTGAAACCGAGTTCACGCCTTTTAAGACCCATCAACAGGAACTATCTAGCTTGCAGGGCTGTCTGTTGTGGGGCACCAGAGTCGTCATCCCAGCCTCACTACGCACACCAGTCTTGGAAGCACTGCACGAGGGACACCCGGGCATCGTCCGGATGAAGGCATTAGCACGTAGCTACGTCTGGTGGCCAGGACTGGACGACGACATCGCCAAGTGGGTAAGCTCCTGCCAACCCTTTCAAGAATCCAGACCGTCCCCTCCAGTTACCACCCCCACTAAGTGGGAAAGCGCCAACGCGCCGTGGTCTAGACTTCACATTGACTTAGCCGGTCCCTTGCATGGCAGAACCTTCCTGGTGGTCGTAGACTCATACTCTAAATGGATCGATGTGGCCCAACTGCACACGACCACCACGCTAGCAGTTACCAAGGCTTTGACCCGTCTTTTCGTGACTCACGGTCTACCTGATACTATAGTTTCGGACAATGGCCCCCAATTCGCCTCAACTGAATTCAGCCATTTTGCCTCAAACCTGGGCATTCGTCATATCTTCACGGCCCCTTTTCATCCCGCCAGCAATGGATTGGCAGAGAGAGCCATTAGAACCACTAAGGAAGCGTTAGCCAGATTCAGCAAAGAAGACTGGCATCACAAACTCTCTCGTTTCTTGCTTAGCCAGCACACAACCCCTTGCATGGTCACCAACAAATCCCCAGCTGAACTCTTAATGGGTAGACACCTCAGAACTGTGTTGGATAGGCTCCACCCTCACTATTGTCCGGACACCCCTCTTGGTTCAATGACGGGGGTCAGAGATTTTGTCTTGCAGGAACCTGTCTTCGCAAGGAACTACGCCGGTGACCCGCTGTGGATTCCAGGGGAGATTGTAGCCATCACCAGCCCCAGGTCATACAGAGTCCAGCTGGAAGACGGCCGCATCTGGAGAAGACACCTGGACCAGCTGAGGAAGCACCAGGGTACCTTCGCCAGTGCTGGGTCATGGGCACAAGTCAGCCCCCAGGTGCCACACCACGCTCCCATCGGAGACCAACCCAGTGGTCCTTCGCCACCGTCATCAGAGCCGAGTGAGCAGGCAGCAGACCGAGGCTGCCCGAGGGGTCCACCCGACGGAGCCACGGCATCACCGGCCAGAAGCGCTGCACCGTTTCCAGCTCAGACCTCCGAGCAAGACCACACTCCATCATCAACCCTACCTGTTTCTACTAACTCTGAGACACCTAGTAACTCACCTGAGTTACGGCGCTCTGGGCGCCAGCACAGACCTCCCGCCTATTTAAATGACTATGCATGTTCGCATCTGGGGGGAAGGGGTGTTATGTCCCTGGAACTTGCCAAAGTTCCCAACCAGGTCCGTTCGTGTTGCGGGGCATCTGCTGCTCCTCATTGGCTGGCTCCCCTCGACAGCTGGCTATAAAAGCCAGCTGCAGGGTCCGGTCAGTCGCTGTTCGCTGGAAGCCTGCTCCTAGCAGAGCTGACACGATCAGTCCTTTATTCTGTGAATAAAGTCTTGTTGCATTCATGCCCTGGTCTAGCCTCTCATTGCTCAATCCACAACAGGCTCTTTCCACATTCCATGCATTTGCCCACAGCCATATGAGAGGCAATGTAAACAGAATGACTAGGAGTGGAACAATTCCTCCATTAGGACTGCATATTGTTTTTATAGTCTCTCTCTCTCAAAAAAATTAACTTCTACTTTCCTTTTCAGATCAGTCACGGTTTTGATTCCCAGGTTGTGAGTGATGAAAATCCTTTCTTCTACTCAATGCTCCCTGCTGAAGGAGGCCAGTACCCAGGGATCGTGAAACTGGTCCTCCATTTTAGGTGGATCTTGGTGGGTCTCCTTGCTCCAGACACTGAGAATGGACAAAGGTTCATGAGGACGTTGACTTCCATGCTGGTCAGGAATGGCATTTGCCCAGTTTTATCACAAATCTTTATCCCAGCTTCTCGGAAAGCGAACATAGACTGGCATTTATACCTCAGTTGGAGAAATGTGAATGTCTTTATTTTTGGTGCAGAATTCAGTTCATTCAATGTAGGGGTTTTACTTATGGATTTAGTATTTAAACAAGTTGCTGAGCCTCCTAGAGGTAAAGTCCTGCTCACCACAATCCGCTGGGACTTCACTATTTATATGAAAAAACAATCTTTTCCTGTTGAATACATCCATAGCATATTTTCCTTTCCTATGAAGAAAAATCAAATTGCAAAGGATGTTAGTTATTTGAACCTTTATTCTTTTATGAGGCACTATGCAGAGATCTCCTTCCTGTGTTCCTATACCAACAATGCTTTTGGGGTGAAAGTCTGGAGACGGTGCAAGCAGAGAGAAGATCTGGAAGCTCTCATGGAAGAGGAGATGGATCCAATCCTGACTCGAGACAACTATTTCATTTACAACACAATCTGGGTTTTAGCACGGGCCTTAAATGCAGCTTATTTATCCAGATCCAGGAGCAAATTTAAAACTGATGAAAAAGTGAAAACTCCAAAGGTGAATGCATGGCAGGTATTTATTTTCTATTGCACCGCTCCCCATAACAGCTGAGAATCTATGTTACAATTGTAAAATTCTGACAATGATTATACTGCATTCTGAATATAAAAATTACATTAAATTCTAATTTACCAAAACACGTGCTGTGTATATTAAGCTGTCTAATATTGCTGATGCTCTCACTTCCTGGGCTTTACCCAGAGTGGGTCTCATTCTTTGGATAAGAATCCATTTGATTTTCCTTCCCTGGCTCAAAACTGTCAGTAGACTCATAGATAACAAAGGATTTCATCAAAGTGCAGTATATAGAGAAGCCTCTTTGGACAAAAAGCTAAGAGGGCTAAGGCCAGGTGAGAAGATGAAGGGTTGGACTGGGAAAAGCCTGGAAGGAGCAAGAGTGAAGAATAGTCCACAAAATATTCCATAGATGTTCCATAAAATTGAAGGAGGTGATCTTCACTCAGGGGTTGAATTCTACCAGTTTGGACTGGTTCTATAGAATTGGTCTAAAGGGGCGTGGGGTAGGGGGCACGCTCCCAGGCTCCATTTTTTGCCTTCCTGGGCCCCAGGGAAGCCTTCTGGGAGCAAAAATGGAAGTCCTGAGGCTTTGCTGAGGCCCAGGAGGCAAAAAAATGGAGGGTGCTGCAAAAAAGCAAGAAGCCATGCCCACCCGGTCACATGGCTATGCCCACCTAGCTATGCCCACTTAACCATGCCCACAGAACTGGTTATTAAAAAAATTGAATCCCACTCCTGCCTTAACTGTTATCAGATATCATCTTTCACCATGCATATATTGGGGTCTCTATGGCAAATTTCCCATCTGTTACCTCAATGCAGAGTTTCATAGGCACAAGCTACTAGTCCCCACAAAGGTCCCCACAGTCATCCTCAAAATGAGCAAAGATATTTCTCTTCCTATCTGCCCATTGACCTGCAAACCAGTTGTTCATAACATTACTTTTATCTGGGGCATCTGATTTCATTTTGGCTTTATTGGCAAAATTCCTTCAGTGTTGTTGTGTACAACTTCCATTTCCTTTAGAGATTTAATTTTGGATCTCAGTAGTTCATACTGGATATATCTTTTGGTTTGGTTACTTCTGTGAAAAGTGAACAAGAGTGAAGCCATTTTCATGTCATTTTATGATCAGAATATTACTTTATGATCAGACCTCATTTTGTAAGCTGTGTTTCAAAAGTATATTCCAGTAAACTTTCTAAAGGAAGTAGTTTTCCAAGGAGGGATTGTGACAGTTATTGAAACACCTTTAACCACAAAGAAGCAACTGTATCCTGTTTTAAGATGAATCATTGTAATGTTAGTTCCTTGTAAAAGAGGATAAAAAGATGAGTGTAACTGTGTTCGGGGTTCCATCTTTTGCCTTGGATGTGAACCCGTTCTGCAGAATCGTAAGAATAAAAGCAATCTGAATGAAGATCCGTGTCGTGTCGATGTTTGTGTGAACGCAATCTGACACTTCCCATTGGTTTTCCAAAGTTTGCAGTAACAATTGTGAATGGAAAAGACAAAGAACATCCTTTGCCATCCTCCTTTTCCAAGCCATTCTTGATCCTTCTAACAAGATTTTTATGTCAGCTGAAATGGAGGAGTCTTACCAAAGAGTTTTCTATGTCCTGTGTAACATTGCCTATTTTCTCTTCGATCCCAGCTTCATTCTTTCCTTCGAACCTCTCAATTTTATAATAATTCCATCAATGGGGTCTATTTGGATGAGAATGGAGAGCTGGTAGCTGACCTGGACATTGTGAACACGGTGGTTTTCTCCAATATGTCTTTTATCAAAGGGCCCATTGGGAGGCTAGAAAGAGTGGGATCCCTGGATTTCAAGTTGATAATGAACCTGAATGCTATTGCAAAGATGGAGATGCTGAACAAGGTGGGGAAAAGACTTTATTCTGCTCTTTATGAAGGTCTTTCCAAGACTATTGTAAAATTGGAGCAGGGGTGGACATGGGATGCAGTGGTGAGATTCAAGGTTTTTTACTACCAGTTCTGTGGGCATGGCTTGGTGGGTGTGGCAGAGGAAGGATACTATAAAATCTCCAGACAGGGGTGGTATTTGCTGGTTCTCCAAACTACTCAAAATTGTCACCACTGGTTCTCCAGAACTGGTCAGAACCTGCTGAATACCACCTCTGTTGGGATGTCATCTCAGTTCTCCCAGAGAGGAAACGTCTTCCCATTCAATGTTCAGGTGTCTATGAGAGAAATATCCTTAACTATTCCAATGAACTGTTTATCAAACTTCTACAAGGAATCTGGATTTATATCATGGGACAAAATGATTGATTTTGTCAAAACAGAAATCTATTCAACTTTCTTTTCAGTAGGTACATTGAGAATCTATATATATAAAAGTGAAATACCACTTATGCACCATTGCAAAATTTCCAGAACCATAAAGCTTACAAACTTGAACATATGAATTGACATATGTTCCTCTTTGTTTCTAAGTGCTTACTAAGAAAGGATTTTTCGAAATGACCATCAGAGCATTAATATTTCATATATTATTATTAACACCCTCTGATGCTAAGGAGTTCTACTCCCCCTCACCATCTGAAAAGAAATCTGTTCCAAATGCAAAACACAAGCAGAGGAGAGGAGTTTCAGTTTCAGTTTTAGTTTCACAGCACCAAGGAGCTTTAGTATAGAACAGTTGAACTAAGCCATGCCTAGGCTCCTTGCTGTCTCCTTCTTGCTCACATAGCAAATATTGATTCAGTTTCCAAACAGCTCTCAACTCTCTCACACACTGACAGGACACTAGCCAGATGAATACTGATGGATGCTGATAGGCAGAGGCAGAATTTCCCCCCCTAATTTTTCTCCCCAAAAGCTTAGCCCGACCACATAGTTTCATAGCAAAGCACAGGTATCGAGCTAGTTTAAAATAAAATTGTAGTAGGAGAAACATTAGAAGAGAAAGTAAATAGACAAACAGAAAGCAACCACATGAGTTTGAGGAGCTCTTAGTTTCTTGTAGTCTTTCAATTTAGCAAAGCTAAACCTTGAATTGGAGACGTGGTGGCTCAGTGGCTAAGACGCTGAGCTTGTCGATCAGAATGATTGGCAGTTCGGCAGTTCAAATCCCTAGCACCGCGTAACAGAGTGAGCTCCCATTACTTGTCCCAGCTTCTGTCATCCAGCAGTTCAAAAGCATGTAAAAATGAAAGTAGAAAAATAGGAACCACTTTGGTGGAATGGTAACAGCACTCTGTATGCCTTCACCATTTAATCATGACCACAGAGACATTTTTGGACAGTTGGCTCTTCAGCTTTGTAACATTGATGAGCACTGCCCCCTAGAGTCAAAAACGACTAGCATGTATGTGCGAGGGGAACCTTTACTTTTTACCTTTTAAACTTTTCTATTTTAGGAAATAAAATAATTCATATTGTGGAAGTTATTTTTTTCCCTCTTTCTGGCCAGCCCCAGCCTCCTTCCAGGTGTGTGGAAAGCTGTTCTCCTGGATTCATGAAGGTGGCTCAGGAAGGGAAGTCCATCTGCTGCTACAAATGTCGTCCTTGTGCAGAAAGAACCTTCTCCAGCCAGGAAGGTGAGTGACAGCAGGAAAAAGGGAGGATCATAGATCTCTCCTGAGATTTTCCATGAACAATTATTTTGAAAGGCTTAGCCAGAGTCCCACCTCTTAAGCCTTGATCAGCATATACATGGATGTCATAGTGGATTATAATAAGTGATCTAGGAGGTTAATATCAGCTTTGGAAGCCACATTGAGATCAGATGCTCCCACACTGCTACATCTGAGCACATCATAGATTGTACTTAGTGGTTCGGTTATGGCAGTGGAAAGCTTTTTCAAGAAAAAGGCACATAATCCACCAGGGCCAATAAATAGAGATGGTTTTAGTTTACAGAATGCCTTTTCAAAATTCTCTTCTATAAAATCAATATGTAGCAGATCATTATAATTATTTATGGCATGATTAGGAAATGCTGTTGACAAAGACTGAACTGAAAAACGTGTTGAAAACATTGGGCTTAATAGCTTCATTATTATAGTCTTTCCCGTTAGGTCCTTTTTAGGGGTGGCATGGTTTTCAAGTCTTTAACTTTGGTATTTACAAAATTATAGAAGGAGCCGGTAGATTTTGTATGTAAGAGTTTTTCCTCTAGTTTAGTAGTAATTGGGGCATTCTGCCTTTATCTGACAGCATAGTGTTTTGCAGCGGCTTTTAAAGTTAGCTATGTAGTCAGTTTGGTTTTTTTGCCAAATATATTTTTTTTCTTTTGATTGGCGCTTCCTTATTGTTTTGGGTAATTTTTTTTTCTGGCTTTGGAGGTTGCTATTGTTACATATAGTTTGATGACTCTTTTGACTTTGAGCAAAAAAATATTTTTTTAAACAAATTTTATTAATTTTTAAAAACAATACACAGACAAACAAAACGTAGAATATAAAAACATAGGACATCTATTCTGAAAAACAAATAAAACATCTTATAGAGACAGCATAATTCCAAATTATCACAGTTCCATATAAGCACAATTTAATATGCATATTTATCTTATATATTCAACTTCATATCTTTTCCCAACTTCTCTCTATTTCTCCCTTTCCTTCTATTCAATTATATTTCTTTTACCTTGATTTGTATATATTCATTGTATCCACCTGTCTTATTTGCAATTGCATTATTCTCTTCCAACATTCTTCTAGAGTTTTATTAATTCAAACATAAACAAACAAAACACCAAACATCAATACATAAAACTTCTTTTTGGAAAGCGGCTTAACCCTGGGTTACATTTTTTTGTACAGACATAAATCAAATTCATTATTTATTTCATCTCAATTTAAATAATTATACTTGCATCTTTTATCCCTTCTCTTTCAATTATCTATTTATCTTTTTTTCTAATACAATATTTCTCCTGTAATCACTGGTTGAAGTATGACAACTTTTTATCTTTCCCCTAAATTTAACACTTAAAATAATACATACTTTCCATACTGATTCTTCTTAGAACATTCTAAGTACTACATTTTAGAATAGAAAAACAAAAGAAGAAAATTAAGTTTATAATATAGTAAATACAATGTTCCATAGGAAATTAAACTCTATTGTTAAATCTTAGACATTTTTATACATTCCCTTTAATGTATTATTAACTGATATAATATTTCAGTTTTCTAACTCAATTTCAAATACTAATATCTACAACAGAGTCTTATGTACTTTTGCAGAATCTTTTTTTTAAAATTATATTTTACCCTTTGTCTCTGAAAAAACCTGTTTTTTAACATCTTGTTTTAAACCTTTATGACTTCTCTTTCCTTTTTCCCTTCCTTTCTTATCAATTCTAGCCTTTTTGCCCCCTATCTCTCAAACTCCACTCTCTTAATCTCCCCTCTCTGTTGTATTTCTCTTTTCTGTTGCTTTCTGACATTATATCGATTTTTCACCTTATTTTTCCCTTTCTTGGTTGCTTTTTTAAGTTCTGAATTCTCCATTTTCTTTCCCCCCCCCCTTTCTCTTTTCTTCCTCAACTAAAATTATATGTCCATTAAAGATGGCTTCTTCTTCATCATCCCAGCTTTCATGTTGTTGTATTTCCTGGTAGGTAGAAATTGCCATTTCTAAAAAGTGAAAAATAGATCCAGAAGAGCCCTTGCCTTCTTGTTCCTCTTCTTTTAACTTTTGAAATTCCATTTGCAATTCTTCAACAGATAATGCCATTTTTTTTAAACAACCCAAATGTTTTTAATCTTTCAAAAAATAGTTCCCCAAAGTCCCAAAGCAGTCCAAATCAAGACAAACTATTTCATTAGTACTTTCTTTTTTATATATATTTTCTTCCTGGGGTAGAATTCAATTACACAGTTCCAAAATATTTTTTTAGAAATCTTATTGCCATTTATTTCTGATCTTATAAACTCCAAGCAGTCTCCTCCAGTACAATCTTAAAATAAGTTCTTTACCTCTTCCTTCCCACTTACAGCAAAAAGATTTTAATTTTTAATTCCAATGTTCAAAAATCTTTTATCCCTTTGGTTTTAATTTTCAAGTTTAGTTATCTTCTGTGCCCAAGCAGGTTTTTCAGATTTCCACCTGCTATTTATGTAGGGAAGGAGAGTGAGAGAAAATACCTTTCCCTTTCAAACTTTCTTCTGCCGCTTTTACACTCTTCTTGGGAAACAATGCATCATTCAAGAGTTTAAATTTTCAGGGTATTTAGAGGTTTCTTGTTGTCCCGGTTCAGCCAAAAACTTTCACTTTCCCCAACTTCCTCCTGCACAATCTTGTCCAACTGCAGGCTTCTTTGTGGTGGCCATTGCTGAGCATGTGGCAGTGTGGAAGCATCTGGTCTCAATACGGCTTCCAAAATTGACACACGTACTGTGGTAATGGAGTCTGGAAAGGATACATTCAATCACATCTTGCAAAACAAGTTTAGATTGAAAGGGGCCACATTTAGTAAGAGGAGGAATTCAGGCATTTTATTTGCAAGTATTCTTGCATTTATTAGCTTGCATTTAAGGTCTGTAGTGGTGGACCTGGAAGAAGTTGGGGGCGTGCGTGCCTAGTTTTGGTTGTTGGGGAGGTGGCAGTTGGGACGTGTGATGCTGGTCTTGCATTTGACGCAGTCAGTGCAGTAGTCAATGTATAGTTTGGTCTCACCTTGGTCCTAACATCTTTTAAGTTCTGAGCAGAGATCGTGAGCAAGGGCACATTGTAGTATTGACAGGTTGGGCTGTGAGCAAAGTTTCTTATGGTTAGTACTGCTCTCTGTGAGTGAGTTTATTGTGTGGATGAATCTGCATTTGCTGGTTTCATTCTTGCAAACGATTCTGAAGAAGCGTGGGGCCACCCAAACAATGCATTTGATTAAACAACATGTTAAAGGGTGTTCTAACCAAGGCTTCCAAGACCGTAATTAAGCACATGCCTAGTCCAAATAACTCTTATTTTATTTCAATGCTGGGAATTATATTCATTCCCAGCCTGTAATGAGTCCCAAACACTCCCTTGAGATAAGCACCCATCTTTATCTCCTTTGAATTGCAGCCAACAACTAAAGTGCCAAATTAACTGTAAAAAATTAACTGAAGTTCAAAGTCCACACAAAGCTTCATGGTTTAATCCGAACAGAGCAAACAACTTTGCTTCCTGCAAAGTTTTCTTTACCTTTGCACTTCCTTTATACCTTAGGAGAGGGGCAATCACCTCCAAGCCTTACTCCCAAGTTGCCCCTTTTGTCTTAGCTGCTCTTGCCTCCTAGCAGCTCTATGCACATGTGCACTGGGAACAGGCTCCCCTTGTTCCTTTGCCTCACTGCTGCCAGACTCTGGAGGCTCTGGAGTCAGCACACAACTCCCAGATGGTTCTGGACCCATCTCTGCATTGGATGCAGGACCCTCATCCAAGTCCTCCCCTGATTTCTGAACTGGTCCCCATTTTTCCCCATTGTCTGATTGCACTGCCGTCTGCACAGGCTACTGGCTAACCACAACAAAGGAAGACCATCCTCTTGCTCTTTTTCAGATGCAGACAAATGTACCAAATGTCCAGATGATCAACATCCAAACATCAATCAAGTTTACTGTATCCCCAAGATTAAAAGTTATCTTTCTTATAAGGAAAATCTGGGGATCATCCTGACTTCTATTGCCTTGTTCCTCTCTTTAACCACAAACTTTGGCTTGGGGATCTTCATCAAATTCATGGAAACACCAATTGTAAAAGCCAACAACCGGGACCTCTCCTATATCCTCCTGGTCTCCCTCCTGCTTTCCATCTTGACCTCCTTCTTGTTCATTGGCCAGCCAAGGAGAGTGACTTGCCTCCTCCGACAAACAGCCTTCAGCATTGTCTACTCAATTGCCATTTCTTCAATCTTGGCCAAAACGATCACAGTGGTGTTAGCCTTCTTGGCCACAAAACCAGGGAATAAAGTACAGAGATGGTTGGGGAAGAGCTTGGCCAACTCTATCATCTTTTGTTGCTCTGGTGTCCAAACTGTCATCTGCAGCATCTGGTTGGGAATTTCCCCCCCATTCCCTGATTCTGATATGCACTCCCAACTTAGAGAGATCATCCTACAATGCAATGAAGGTTCTGTCACCATGTTTTATGTAGCCCTTGGGTACATGGGCTTCCTGTCTGCTGTTTGCTTCACAGTGGCTTTCCTGGCTAGGAATCTTCCTGGGGCCTTCAATGAAGCCAAACTGATCTCCTTCAGCATGCTGGTCTTCTGCAGTGTCTGGGTGTCCTTTGTGCCCGCCTATCTGAGCACCAAAGGAAAGTACATGGTGGCAGTTCAGATCTTCTCCATCTTGGCCTCTAGTGCTGGATTGCTGAGCTGTATCTTCATCCCCAAGTGTTATATTATTATTTTTAGGCCTGATCTGAATACCAAAGAACATTTGATGTCAAAATAAAAAAAAGACTTTTACAAATGTATTATTTTTCAAAAATGACATTTACTAGGCTTGATAAACAGGTTTTGGTCATTTAACATTTGTTTGTTTATTAAACCTAAATGCAACAACATAAAAACTCATACAAACATATTTGGGTGCCTCTCCTTATCTTCATAGAGATCCTCCTTCATATGGAAACAGTTCCAATGGAAGCAGAAGACAAACATGATAGAAGAGCCCAAGGACAATTATTCAGTTGGACTCTAAATTGTGGGAATTTGTGGGAAATCCATTGACTTTAAGAATATCTGTGAGAACAATAGGCAAAGTCTTACACCTGTCTAATTATATCAGATACCATGGATTCTGTTGGTTAATGTGTGGAAAGATAGATTTGAAAACAGTGACTTGAGATGAGATGCCTCTTTCACAAATAGCAAAAAGAATAAGAGACAAAATGGAAATTCTGTCTGTCTGTCTGTCTGTCTGTCTGTCTCTCTATACACACACACGCACACATGTATGTGTGTGTGTGTACAAACACACACCTATACCAATCTCTCTCTCTCTCACACACACAGATACACATACATATATGTGGGTTGTGTGTACGTACATTTTTCAAGAGCTCCATTGCACTGATGAGCTCATGAGGCCCTGAAAGCTCCATGATAAAAAAATTTCTGATAACAGAAATATGCAGTAAGTCATCTTTGATTTAGCCAACTCTGAAAGTATTTGAAGAGAGAGAAAAATGGACTAAACCTTAGAATCTTGTGGGCTGTCCCAAGAAGGAATGTCACCATGAACTCTCCTGACACTGACCTGTGCATGGTCATCCACACACAACAGGGATCAGAATACTAACTTCCAACCCTTTCCCTTTTATCAGATGTGGCAAAGATAGTTGACCTCTAAGCAGCAGTTGACTTCTAAGCAGCTTCTGGAGTGGATGGTCTCTACTTGCAGCTCCATAGTTAACTCTGGATAGAGAAGTTTCAGGGATGCCCTTGTGCCATTTTCATCCATATATTATTTTCTTATTTGCATGGCATAATTCTGAATTCCAGAGGGCCTCCAGAGCCTGGGGGAGGCCATTTTCACTCTCCCAGAAGTCTGGGGGAGGCCTCTGAACCCTTGGGAAGGCAAAAATGGCCTCCCCTGGGCTTTGGAAGCTCACTGGAAGCTGGAAACAGACAGGGGTGGGATTCAATATTTTTAACAACTGGTTCTGTCGCCATGGCTTAGTTGGTGGCTGTGGCTTGCTGGTCACGTGACTAGGTGGGCATGGCCACTCAACAACACTCACATCAAGGGGTGCTTCTCCTTGCCTGGCCTCTCATGACAATGTGGATGCTGCAATGATCGTAAGTGTGAAAAATGATCATAAGTCACTTTTTTCAGTGCCATTGTAACTTTGAATGGCCACCAGTTTTAGACCAAAACTCAAAAAGGGTATTTGAATGTCAATCTTTCTAGCTAGCCAAGAAGCCTTGCTGAATGTCCCTTATCTTAGTTCCTTGTCATTAAAAGCTTCTTTGTGGCAGCTCTGCTTCATTATTCAACAGGGGGGTATTTCCTCCCTACACCAGTGTAAACAGCTTAAAATAACCCTTCCCCTTTAAAAAAGTACCAGCAAAGAAAAAAAAAACCCTCCTCTGGAGACAGTAAGTCTAGGCACACTGCCAAGAATGCAAGAAGGGTGATAAAAAAACCAAAAGATTTCTTCCAACAACTAGTTCTCCAAACTGCTTAGAAAGTTAACAACTGGTTCTATCAAATAGGTGAGAACCCGTAGAATCCCACCCCTGGAAACAGCCCTATTTCCAGACTTTTGTACTTCCAGGAGGGCCATTTTTCACCTTCCCAAGGGTCCAGATCCCTCCCCGGGCCTCTGGGAGGGCAAAAAAGTCCTCCCCCAGGTTCTGAAGCCCTCCAGAAGCTGGAAACAGGCCCGTTTCTGGACTTCCCAAAGGTACATTTTCCCCCTCCCAGAGCCTCAGTGCGGACCCTGCACTTACCTGTATTAAAATGGGCTACATGGAGACACCTGGGAGGGGTGGGGTGGGCAGGGCCAGCTGGTCAGTTGAAATATCAGTTCGGTAAACCAGATGAAAACTTAACATTTGGTGCACCCGAACCAATCCAAACTGGTAGAATCCCACCCTTGGGTCATGGAATTCTGAGGTCTCACAAGGACTTATGATGTCATCTAACACTGGCAGATAAACTAGAAAAGGTCATACAGAGTGCTGCAACATAACATAAAAAACATAACATAAAAATTGTGACGGAGCCTTCATTGCACAAGCTCTATTTCTATCCCTTCCCTTAGAGAACAGAAAAATAAACACAGATGGATGATGCTTCATTTAATGTCTTTATAAACATAATAAGTAGACTTTACAAACCAGTTGTAGATTTCTCCAACATGGAACAAACTCAGACAGAAGTAAACATGTTACAAACAGTAACTTCAGCAGCTCAGAAACAGTCATCAGTTTCACTTTAGTTCAGCAGGCAAGCAGGAGAGAAGCAGTTTCATTTTCAACAGACAGACTCAGAGCTCAACATAGCTTCAGAGCTGCAGAGCTGAACATAGAGCCATGCCTACACTACTTCTAGTTTCAGTTTCCAGCCTAGGCTAATTCTAGTTTCAGTTTCCAAACAGACCTCATTGGCTGACTTATTTGCTATGCCTATTCTTGTTACCAAGCTCTATTCCAGTTTATGAATATACTCTGACCAAAAGAAATACCTAAAGGATATTTTAAAACACAGAAACCCTGGAGAAGTCAAACAACATTGTGAAAAATGATTTTGGGAGAAATTTTATATTTAACTCCCCTGTCTGACAATCATCTGTTTTGACTTTTACACTCTGTTGAATGCTGGATTGGGAGCAGGGGAGCCATCTACTAGAGGAAGAAGATTACTGCAACATGGCAAACTTTGGAAGTAATGAAAGAGAAAATAAACAACACCTGGAAGGTCCGATATAACAAAATTAAATTCAATGTTGAGAAAAGTAAAATCCTACACTTAGGCAAGAAAAACCAAAAGTACATATATAGACTGGGTGTAATCAGGCTCAATAGCAATAACTGTGAGAGTCTTAGTGGACAAACAGCTAAATATGAGCCAGCAGTGTGCAGTGGCAGCCAAAAAAACCAATGCAATCCTAAATGGCATTAACAGAGGAATACAATCAAGATCAGGGGATGTACTAATACCTGTCAGTCTGTGCTCCATTCAAAATCCAACAAAGAAATACTCAGACTCCAATGATTAGAGCAAAGTTTTTATTTTACTGAAATTCAAAGTGGAAGCCACAGGTAGAATTCTGAATCTAAGGAATTAGGTGAGCAGATTACATATACAAAGGGATGGAATTGTTCCCACCCCCCAAAGTTCAAAAGATTCTTCCAATTAAAAGTTCTGAATATGATCATGTGGGCATCTTCAGGTGGTGATGAGGCCTCTGCCATTGACCTTGACATATTTTGATAAAACTTCGCAGCTGCGCAAAGGAAAGAAGGCTAAGCAAGGAAATAGAAACTTAAGAGCAGGAATTTATACTCCCACCCGACTCCTCATTTATAGAACACAAAAATGTAACACCTCCAGCCCTTTTCCCAGATGCAACCCTCCTCCCCCACCCCATTTACTCATGGCAGCCGAAAGATGCGAAGCAGTAGAAAAGTAGAAACGATCTTGAAGGTTGACAATACCACTCTATAAATCCTTAGTAAGACCACACCTAGAGTATTGCATCCAGTTTTGGTCACCACATTATTAAAAAAGATGTTGAGACTCTAGAAAAAGTATAGGTAAGAGATTAGAGGACTGGAAGCTAAAACATGCGATGAACTGGGCATGGCTAGTCTAGTGAAAAGAAGGACTAAGGGAGACATGATAGCAGTGTTCCAGTATCTGATGGGCTGCCACATTGAGGAAGGGGACAATCTATTTTCTAAAGCACCTGAAGGCCAGACAAGGAATAATGGGGGGGGGGGGGGGATGAACAAGGAGAGATTTAACCTGGAAATAAGGAGAAACTTTCTGACAGTGAGAACAATTAACCAATGGAACAGCTTTGCCCTGGAAGTTGTGGGAGGGTCATCACTTGAGACTTTCAAGAAGAGATTGAACTGCCATTTGTCAGAAATGATATAGGGTCTCTTGCTTGAGCAAAGGCTTGGATTTTCATTATCACAGTGCTTTCATGCCTGTGTTAGAGCACAGGCAGCACTAAAATTAAATATCATCAATTTAGAATAGCACCAAATTCCACATCTCTGGGTGACCTTCATTAACAGTCTCTGGAGGCAAGAGACCACTTGAGCAGAAATAATTTTCTGGCTGTTGAAGTATCTTGCTCCAGCATTACTTTCTAGACATGTCCTAAAAGGAAGGACTATGACCACTATAGGGCAGTGCCCATGTTGCAGAAAATTACGAGGCTCAGACCTTGGAATCCAAAAATAAGTTGGTTTTATTTGTGCAAACAGGTTCAGAGTATTTTAGTGAGAGTCACTTCTGAACAACTTTCTTATTGAACAGCACATGCCTATATACTTCTTCAGAAGGGTCAAAATACAGAAATATAACTTGTCAGTTATTCATTGGTCACTTGAAACACAGCTTTCTCCCTCCCCTGTTGCTAGGCTAGGATGGCTGGATGTCACAAACCCATCTTGCTAAACTCCCTAGCTTGTGGTTTTGTTACAAGCGAGACAAGGTATCTTGGCAAATATGACTTTGTGACTGATAGATGATCCTTGTGGTTTGGCATTTCACAGTTGTATCATTATTTCTCTAAAATTAATATATTTTTATGTCCTGCCTTATTCCCCCCTTTGAGACTTTATTTAACAATTAAATCTCACTTTTATGGTGTCTTAGATTAGCCCTTGCACATATAATGTTCGGCATGACAAGATTAATGCTTTTGCAAAAGTAGGCAATTACAAATCCTTCTCAGATGAGTTGAAGTTGGAAAAACAAAGAACTTTCTT